TGTCAAAAAAATAAAAATGTTTAATAGTAAAAAAAAAAAAAACTTAAATGGGCTAGATAGCAGATTGACCTTAACTTTAAATTTTGGTTTTGAAAGAGAAATCAAGTCAGACTCAACCTGGTCATACCCAAAACTAAATTTTAGGAATGAAAAGAAAATAACATTAGAAGTTTGAAAAATATACAATAAATACACTTAACAATAATAACTACGAATACTTAATTGGTCTAATGAATGTTATAGGCTCTTAAAAGGATTGAATATCTGAGATTCAAGTCTCTTTCCATTAAAAAAAATTTCAGAACTCTTCTTCCCTTATAGACTTCCTTAAATGCTACTCTCCAAAAAAGAAAGAAAAGAAAATAAGTTTATGGATTGCTTGTCTATAAAGCTTTGGGAAATTCCAAAGAGTTTATTCAAACTTTATAACAACTATTTTATGTTATTCTATTCTTTCTTTATGTTATTCTCATGGAATAGCTATTTCATATTTTTTTCTATTCCATTTGATTAATGAAGCGTGATGTCAATTCATATATATTTTTTAATAATAGTAGTATATTTATAATAAATGAAATAAATGAAAGATAATCCATAATCACTTTTCCTTTTTATGAGAAAAAATAAAAAAAGAGTAGCAGCCGAATACTTACCTATATTTTTATTAAGCAATCATTGCAATTTAATTCTTTTGGTGCTTAAAGTTTGCTTAAGGTACTTGATACTCTGATTACATGGGAGAATGATTTCCATTCATCTTTTGAAAATTTTCTCGAGCTCATAACTTTCAATAAGTTGAAAGCATAATGATTTAGGAAAAGTTGCCAAATTGATATTATTGCGTTACCCATATACTATACCATAATTTGACCATCATCTAAAACCAAAATGGAAAAAAGCTAATATATAGTACCATTAATTATTCTTCTTTATTTTTTTGCAGAGGAGCTAAGTGGCATTTAAAACTTTTGAGACATCATTCATTTTGTCCCATCTTGGGTTGCTATTACTAAAAAGACTGAAACCCTAAACCTAAATGGGTTATTTAAGTAGAAGAAGAATCTATTTTTTTGTCAACTAATGTTCGATTTTTATCACAAATATTTCGAAAGTAAAATTTTGAGTGCACCAGATCAATGTAAACAAATGCATCATCAAAATCATCTGAAAATGGGGATTAAACCAAAACAAAATTTGAAAATGTCTCTTTAGAAAAAAAAAAAAAGTTGATTTCTATATTGAAGTTAAGAGGTTCTTTCCACTATCTCTAATGCCGTACGTGGAGATGCTTCATTATCTAGTTATAAGGAACCATCGAGATGCTCCATTAACTAGTTGAGAATATACCTTAATTTGCTGCTTCAATATCACACTTCCCATCGTCCTTGGATAAGAAGAAGAAAGGTGGGTGCATAGAAAAATCGTGAATGGAAAATAAAAGGAATCTTCTACCACAAAAAATAATAATAATAATAAAGATAGGATGGGAAAGAGAATGTAATATATAGAAAGATAATGTTTCCAATTCTGATAAATTGGGAGAAGAAATTACCAAGAGAAAAATTATAAATATAAAGGTTAAATCTCTTAGCCTTCAAGAAAAATAAATAATAATTTTTTATAAGGGTTAATGTTGTTCATATTCTGTGTTTTTGTTGGTTTTTCCTGTAATTTACTTTAACCTTCTTTCCAAATTTTTTGTTTTTTGACAATCTACGTTGAATAAGCGTATAAGAAAATTGCTAAGTCAGCTTGCAAGATGAAGAATGTGGATTATAAAAATTTCAATCTCTTTCCTCGCAAAGTCAGCAGTGCTGCCTTCCAAATAAATAACACTACCCTCATTTTATCAGAGAAGCTATGGAAAACTAATTGCCACCGTCCTATGAACAAGTCTTTGAAAGTAGCCTCATCATTATTTTAAAATGCATCATTAACCACAAATGAAAAAGACAACTTTGGGAAAATTAAAATAAAAAAAGTACTTCATCAGCAAGAAGTATATAAAAACCAATATGAGGTCAGCACCTTGGCAATTGGCAGTGCGCCTAGTTTTTGACAAAAAAAAAGAAAAACTCCATATGCTACTACTATAAGCTAAATTCCTCCACCATGAATTATGTGTTAAATTCATCTTCTTCTTTCATTTTGCTTTTTCCATTTAGATCTTGAACGCCATACTGCAATAAAGACATTCTTTTTAACCAGACAACTCTTAAATTGATAGTTATTGCTTTGTAATTATACTAATGTCTTTCATAACAGGAACCAAAACAACAAAGAACAATAACCCCACTAACCACACCTCTCAGCCTGAACTGTTTTGTGGGAAAGCTTTTATTTAGTAATTAGAATGTTTAAGAGACAAGTTACAAACATACAATACCTAAATTTTCTGCCCCACATTGTAGAGGCTGAATTCAATCCACTCCCTTTTTTTTTTCTTTAAATGCTGTCCTCTAACAATTAGAAAATAAAAAACCCCGCCAGCATTTTAAATTGAAGGGTTAGCCTCTCCTCAAAGCCATAACAAGTGAAGGACGCTTTCAATTTTTAAATTTGGGTATTGGGGGGGTGATGTAGGCCCCCACAAGAGTCTTGTGTGAACAAGAAATAGTCCATTTCAATATTTAATATGCGAACAAGAGATCCCCAACACCTCACATGGCATCAAAATGCAACATTTACATTTCAAAATTTGGGATTCAAATAGTTTAAGCTCAACTAGATTTACAATAGTCAAAGATCCTCGGCCAGATTATTGTCTCTTGCACTTAACCCATCAACAAAAAAAAAATTATTAAAAACTAAATGATAGGAAGCAAAGAAACACTTGGACATTGGGTTCATTTTTATAAATATCTAGGATATGACAATTTACTGATCTTGATCTTTCTATTGCTCAGAATTTGCCTTCAAATCTCCAATGCTAAATGGGTTCATTTCCTTTTTTTTTTTTTTTTGTGGTCTTTGTTCCTTAGTATAACTTTAGTATAAGTAAAAATGATGGAAGTGATCAAAGAAATAGGTGAAGTCGTTCAACATTGTCCAAATGAGACGCATGAACAGTGCCGGTAGCCGCCTTAGGTGATCAATTGTTTATATTAAATTTGTTTTGTTCTACCAACAGGAGAAAAAAATAACATATATTTTGGTAAGCATGGTCCATGCTTCGTTCTTTTTTTATTTTATCGGAAAGGGATTCTAATGATATGTTTCCCTTTCACTTTCCACATCCTCCATCCACTAAATAAAAGAACTCAAAGGCCAAAACCCCTGGTTTTTCAAATTAACTCTGGCTTGCTGGTGCTTTACTCATATTTTTACCATAGTATCTCGAGAATTCTTGATTAAATATCACTGTGGGTTTACTTTAATGGCATTGGACTTTGGAATTTTATAAAATATTGTTATTAACGTTTTAATATTGTTTGATTTGCCCAAAATCTCACCGATTAATTAACACAAAATTTAACTGAAATTAAAATTGATTTAAATATGGGTGAGAGTTCAATCCCGCTGTTACAAGCTCTCAACGCCAACTTTCAAACTCTGAACAGTGACTTGGTATAAGAGAATGGGAGAGAATTACTCTCTATCTCCTAAAACTGAAGTTATGAAACTTAAATAGGGACTTCCCTTAACATGTTAATTAAAATTAACTTGATTGGATATGTCACAACATGATACCATTATAATTATCCATAATTTAATATTAATTAACATAAATCTGAATTAATTAACTATGTTAATCCATAATATATGATAAATACAACAAATATTCCAAACCAAGACATTGGGGTGCTTATTTTGCCCAATTACTTAGTTCTCTAAAGTGATAATAATCTTTTCAAAACAGAAGATTGCTTCAAACAAACCACACAAAGTAATTTGTGTAAAAATACTTTTAGGAATTTAAATGAATTGAAAATGAATAAATGTTTTTATGTTCATATCTGTTTGTTTAATTAATAAATCTTAAATTTAATGTAATTCGTTTGTTAAGTTTAACGAATGAACAAAAATCAAAATTAGTCAAGAACTATTCATCTAACGTTTTATTCATTTACATTTTTTATGTAAATGAATTAAATATTAACGAACATTGTTATATTCATGATATGATAATTTAATTAATAAATCTTAAAATATTATTTATAATTATTTATTAAATTTAAAAAACAAATATAAAAAAATAAAAATTGAATTTATTTATAAACTTAATTTGTTTACATCTTATTTTTACTATAAAAAATTACTATAAAAAATCCTATCCTTCGGAAAAGAATAAGGCAGACCTTAGAATTGGATAAGAATGAAAGTTACTGAAAGAAAATTGAAAGCTTTTCTTTTCTTTTGGTAACCATTTATGGGCAAATTGAAAAAAAAAATGCATTGGAGTTAAATTAAGGGGGTTTGGATGGGAGCCTAAAGGCCAAAGGGCTTAGCCTTGGCATAACGCAGATAAGGTGGTGGAGATCAGGAGGTGTCATTGTCCTGCCAAAGGAATCTCCCTCACACGCATGCTTGATAAGTACATTTGGTTAGGCTATTATATTTTTAAACAGTAAGATTATAGAACCCTATCTGCTCCCTTCAAGATCAACCCTTGACCCCGTCGACACCGCCGAGCCATTCCAGTCAAAGTTCCAAACTCCTGACATTTCTCCACGTGGAGCTTGTGCCGCCTTCCAAGGCCTCGTGCCGGTGGCATGTCTTAAAATGTTTCAAGGATATTGCAACATAAATTAGTATAATCTAATAACTACCCTTATGTTTTACATAAATGCATTTTATATAAAATTTTGATGAATTTTAAATAATTTTAAATTATAATTAATTAATTAAAATATAATAATCATAAGTAATATGTTATTACATTACATGTTTATTTTTAAGAAATTGTAGTTTTGAATGTCAAATTGATGTGAATTGACCTAAGATAGAGCAAGTCATTTGGAAAATAAGGGATGGCCTGCTTGAGGGAGTCTCTTATTACTATATATCCATAGGGTGGTAAGAAGGAGCTGTATAGAAAGAGACTGTTGCTTATTTAACCTCCTTCCTGCTACTTCTTTAACTTTCAATCTTCTTTCTCTTTCGTTCCATCTTTCTGCATAGGAGAGAGACAGAGAGAGATGGGGAATTGTCAAGCCATAGATGCTGCGGTGTTGGTGATACAGCATCCATGTGGGAGGATAGAGAGGTTATATTGGCCTATTCCGGCAAGTGAAGTGATGAGATTGAATCCGGGTCACTACGTTTCTCTGATCATTCCATTGCCTGTGTCTGAGGAAGAGATTAATCAAGATGAAAAGACCGTACGTTTCACCCGTGTTAAGCTTCTCCGGCCTAGCGATACTCTTGCCCTTGGCCATGCTTATCGTCTTATCCCTTCTCAAGGTAGTTCATCTTCCCTGTTCACTTTATTTTTCACATCAAGATTATGAAATTTTGTTAGCCCCAAGCCTGTTTATTGCTTCATATTCTCTTTAATTATTTTGATTAAGATAATAATAGTTATATATTTCCCGGCCGAGTCTGCAGAGGTCACGAAGGTTTTGAGGGCAAAAAAACATGCAAAAAGGCTGCAGCTGGAATCAAATGAAAAGTTGCAGCGTGGACAAGAGAACCAAAGTTCAGGACGCGAGTCAGGAGGAAAGTCTAACAAGGAGAAGACCTACCAAGTATGTCTCAGTTCGCCCTAATGGCCTTAAGTTTATAAGATTTTATGTCACAAGAAAGACTAAGTTCTCCGGTATGGAGGAGAACTGGTTGTCATGATTAACTTGATGCACATGTTTTCATACGAATATATGAACCTCGCCAGCATAGCTCGAGCCTCAAGTCATTGGAGAGACGGAACTCAGAAGTACATTAACGAGATATTTTGGAAGTTTATATCCAAACAATAAGATGCTGAGAATAATTGAGTCACTCATCTTTCACATATGTTCTTCTCAGCTAAGCAATCTGTGAATGAGTCTCCTCACATAAAGTTCCGTCCACAATAAGAGTAAAAACAGAATACTTAACAAATATCAATAGAAATTATTTTCAATTTTCATTTAAATCTTTCCTTCTCATTCATTTATAAATACGGAGATGCTTATTTTCTAAAATTTCCAGGTGATTAAGCATGAAAGACAACGCTCAAGGACAACACCTGTGAACACTGCTGCAATGAGATCTAAAACATGGCGGCCCTCATTACAGAGCATCTCCGAGGCTGGAAGCCAATAATGGTTGTTTCAGATTTCATTTGTAAGGTGCAGATTGGGCTTTGGGAGTGGCAATGAACTGCCTCTTTCTTTTGATGACAGAAATTCACCAAATGAATGAGGACGGTAACCAAGATTTCTAATTTCATTCACAGCTACCAAAATCTGTTTCAAGATATAAAATATTTGTATAGCTTTGGAGTTCAGAAGACCCCTAGATCCTACATTGTATTTACAAGAAATATTCTCATATGAAATTAGATCTTTCACTCACTATTTTATACAACTTCTGCTACAGTACATAGCTATGATGAAATGAAAAAAAAAAAAATCTTATGAATTATGTTGAGGAAATCACTTGGTTGAGTTTGAGTTCCAAACCTTCCAATCATGATCAACATAGTTTTGGGCCCATAACAACGATGCCCGTGCGGCCATAGGAGCTCCAGGTAAATTCTTCTCTTTTAAAGCAACAAATATTTCGGTGAAAGGCTCCACTAACAATGTTCCGGGTCCTCCATACTCATCGTGCAAGAAATTGTTAAATACCTGTTTTCAACATTAGGAAATAGTATGCCTCACAAAAATTTAAATATTCATATCAAAACTTGAATCTTCTTTAGGTAGAGCCTAATACAGGTAGAAATAGTGACCTTTAACAATAAGCATCACATATAGGTAAAGCCTAGAGAAATCCCAACATTGGGCCAAAAATTCACAGAAAGAAGAACGTGACAGTAGTTGTCAGGAAAAGAGTGATCAGTTGTTGTCATGCCAGACATTTCTTTTTGGGTCAATTTTGAACTGTTTCTAAGCCAAGCAAAATACACGCATTTAAAAATGATGAACAAGTGCTTAGTTTAGAAGAGATCATTGTTGATAAAGCTATAAACAATCAACAGTAGGCAATTAAAAATTAAGTTGTCGGGATTGAAAGATTTGAATTAAGGGATGCGAACCAGATTTCTCAAACAGTTTCATGACCCTAAATTAGAGGGATTAACAAGCAAGGCTTCATTAATGATCATGACCACCATGCTCCTTGTCCCCTTCAAATTCCAACATGCACATTTGAATGAAATAATCCATTTGAATGTGATTACAAGTTAGCCAAAAGAAATCAAACTATGGTGAGTGATAATAGTGATGTTTGTATTTTGGTTAATGGTTACAAAGCTTGTTGCATCTTTTCCACGGTAAAGAACGGTGCATGCTAATAACACCCAGTTTAAAAGAAAGGAAAAACATATCGCTCTAGTGTTTCAAGCTCTCCCAGTAAAGGAAATCAATGATATGATTTTATCATAATTGCCTGCTTCAAACGCATTTCTATCACTTCATTTGGCAGAAAATATTCCTGTCAACCTTCTCAATGACCCCTAGCCCCCAACCCCCTTCCCCTATAAAAAATAAATAAATAAATAAGAAGAAGAATAAGAAGAAAAGCAACCGCTGGGCTATGAGTCCTGCCTAAGCATTGCAGACTGAGACACCATTTCTAATCAGTTTTTCCCAGCTTCATTAAGTAGGTAGGTAGCCTACTCAACGAGGTGGATTGATAATGAACAATGACATATTCAACCCTTTTTAAAGTAAGGCAGAAATGACCCAGTTCTCAAAATATTGTCAATTCTAGGACCACACGTTGCATCAGCACTTATCAACAGAAGAATAACATCTCCCAAGCATGATGAAGCCACTTGCACCATCAAGCATGCTAAAGACACTCGCACTTATGCTCTACTGGTATCCTTTGCGATAGAATTCAGGAGATTTCATTAACATTAATGTGTCATATTTGTTCACTATACTAATATAAAATGTTAGCAATGAATATTTTTTGGAGATACTTTGCATTTTAAATATACTAATGAATAAGTCTATTATCACCAATATAAAAGCATGTAGTCCTATTTCATTCCAAGATTTTAAGATCGTCTTATGGTTTGTTGAAATGTGCTGAGAATCAATTTTGAGATCTGTAACCATCTGCATTATGCATTACTATTAAGGGGAATCCTAGAGGCAGTTGCTTCAACTTTCGTCTTTTAACACTGTAACATATAACCAGCCACATCTACTCACTTTTCTAACTTAAAACTTGCAACCTAATAACCAGGTAATCTTCTTTTTAGTCATATGGTGAAAGCCTAGCCTACTGTCAAGTCCCATCCAAAAAGTTAAATAAAGGCTAAAACACCCTTCATGCTGTATATTACATTTGAATACCATTATTCTGAAAATGTAGTACTATTGTCATTTTTTTTCAAAAAGTTTTGAATTAAAGCAAAATAATCTCTATTTTTTTCGTGATTATTTTTATCTCAATTAATATTATTAATTTTTATTATATTAACATTTGAATATAGTGCTATTTTTTAATTCTAGCGATTTGTATATTCATATCGTGTAAAAATATTAACATTTGTGTATTCGTGTTATATTTTACAAGAAAATTATGTGTTATAATTCGTATCGATACAAAAACATATAATATATGTTTTTGGTTTTATTAAACCCATATATAATTATTATTAAAAATGTAAATCATGTCATTTTTTTATATCGTATCACTGTGTTGTGTTTTAAATTGCTAAATCTATTTTTTTCATTTAAAATACTTTTTGTAATTTTATTTTTGTTTGAAAAATAAAATATGCAAACTTTATTATTTGAATACAAAAATTATATATCAATTATTGAATTAAATGCTCGATATATTTTTTTATAATTTTACTCTAAAAACTATGTATAATATTAAAACATGCCTATTAACAAAAATGAATAATGAAAAAATAGACAATCATTTACTCTTAAATTATATTATTTAAAACATAACTAATTGTATGTAACCCAAGAAAATCTTATTTTATTGAACTAAAAAAAATATATTATATTAATTATTAGTACTTTTTTGTAATTAAATTTTATGAATAAATATCGTGTTTTGTAATATTTAAAAAATATTATACTTAAATTTTATTATTACATCCTTTTTTAGCCACCGTTAACAGAATGAAATATGGTTTTTTTTCTTTTGGCTTAGGTCAGCAGTCATTTCTGTTGTTTAAGATAGTGTTGGACTATAGAATTATGCAGCTTTAATAATAAGTTTCCAGTTTTAAGTTGAAAAAATGTAATGATGTGGCTTCCTATTAAGACGAATGCTCAAGAGTGAAGGGGGAATCAGTTGCCCCTAGCAATCCCCTTACCATTAATCATAATAGTTGATAACAAGTCCATGAATTTTAGGTTTTCTTATAGCTAACCCCGCTGCTAGAAAAAAATAATGAAAGAAGTTTTCAATTTACATCATTTTTGTCAAGCAGTTGCATGTCTTTCTTATAATTTGATGTAAGGCACTTTTCCAACAACCTTTATGTAATTCCTTCTGAGAAGAAAAGAGCTTATGCATTCATGAGAATATTTAAGTTTGCAGATACACAGTTTATAACATTGTTGAACGAGTATTGGTACCCTACACTCCATCAATAGATCTGTAGTATAAAAATGTGAAAAGAAAAAAAAAAAACGGATGAGATGAAGTTAGAGTAAATGGTTTTGACTCTGGACATGAAACCAGGTTGAAAACCAAAAAATCCGATTCCTGCAACTCTCACAAACAAGGAATTTTCCCTAGTGATTCAATTCCATTACTACCCCATTGAAAATTGACAACTGCATCCTATGATGAGAGAAGAGCACAGATTAAAAAAAAGTTGGATCACATAGTGATTGCCTTATCGGTTAAGATTTTACATGTCAAGGAGTTCACTAAGATTGGGATCAAGAACTGTCAATTCCTTTAAATACCTGTGTTCTGCAATTTATTTTTTAATTTGTTAAGCTAAAATAGTCGAAGGAAAGTGTGTTGTAAGTGGCACATTTTTTCAAGTAGGTTAAGCTCAATGTTAATGGATATATCTTGACAGATTCATTAGTAAAAGTATAAAAGTAAACATTTAACAACAAATATAAGGTTCTTCAAACACCATTGAATAATAGACCCAAAAAGAAAAGCTATAGAGCCAAAACCATTCCTAATTTATAGACAATTAATAAAGGAAATTCCATAATAACAATACCCCTAGGCCCTATCAATCAATAGCCATTAAAATGAACAATGAAACTAGCCATTGAATAAACAGACGCTGATATTTTAAAAGAAAAAAGAGAAGAATCCTTACCTCACCACAGACCTCAATGCAAGCATCAAGATCACCACCAAATGTGTGTTTGTCCTTGGATAACTTCTTGAAAAGCTCACTTTTAAACTTCAGGGTCTCCTATTATAACAAATACCCACAAAAATAATCAAAGAAAATGAACCAATGGAGCTTCTTATTCATTAAAAAATGCATTCTTTTATATATATTTAAAACTGTATGTACTAACCGCTTCTGCGAACTCAGGGATAGGGTCAGGGTAAACGTATTTCTGGGGAGGTGAAGCTCTGAGAGGGTGCAGGAAGGGTTTTACGGAGATAGGTTTTGGAGAGGGGATTGAGAAAGAGAGAGGAAGGGTTGGGTGAAGATGAGGATGTGGGATGAGGCAGGCGGTGCGTCGGATAAGAAGTGTGGCGAAGGTTGGGGTTTTGGCGGGAGTTAACGGTGCCTGATTAGAGACCCACGATGAAGACGCCATTTCGTTTGGGGTGATAGGATGTGTTATTAGGCCTATTTCTTTGTTATTTAATAGTAACTTCAGCCCATTTGTAATTGTTCTTGGTGGTCTCGACTTGGGTGCCAAAGTTTGAAGAGCAGAGTAGGTCCCTTGATGTGCCGTACCGAATCCCAACAAGAGCCCATCTTGAAAGTTGAAACCCAACCTAAAATACGGCAGTCCATTTTCAGCATGGGTTTTATATAATTACAGTCATCAGACCTAGGACTCTTTGCTTCCATTTTTAGCAGAAGATAATGAAGTTTGCACAAGGCTCCAATTGAGTCAGAAAAAGGCCTAACCTAAACTAAATCATTTGAAATATATATATATGATTATTAATTTGTCAAATGTATATAAATTCTCTCACATATATAATTCTCATGAAGGGGACAGCTGATTAGAACAAATCAATTTAAAAACCAATAGGAGGAAGAAACCTTCAAACAAATTTCAGAAGTTAGTTGAAAAGCGAGTCCAATAAATGGATGTACCTTTTACAAAGCAATGTGAAGTGTTGTTTCTTTGATAATTAAATTTAAAAACCTTACAGTGAGCTTTTGCTAATTGGTTGGTTTCCTAAGCCGTCATTGTTTTTCCTTACCGAAATAAGTTGAAATAGTCTGGATGCTATACCCCATCAACTATTTGTGTTCCACAGACAACACTTTCCATTCTTCAACCTGTTCTTGTAGGATCAGTAGCAAATGACAAGTTCAAAAGACATGTTATAATCGATAAATACTCTTACTTTTCTTGACGGTAATGGATCGATCAAGTGGCATTTTTATATCTATCTGGTCTCCAATGCTCCTGCGGCTTAATTATCAAAAGGTCGACTATTGCACATGATCCCAAACTTCGAATTTCTTACTGCTCCATGCCTTTTTTTTCCCTTGTCCCGCAGTTGGAAATTATTTTCTGAGTTGGGATATTGAGTTGGAATGCACTAAACTAATGGATATTCTACACACTTGTTCTTTCCCCTTTTAAGATATTCTCGTTTGCAGCTGCCATTGCTTAGATCAGATGAGACTAGTCAGACCTAAATCATAACTACATACAATGTAACGTGAACTAAGCTTTCTGCTAAACAGCTGTTGCATTTTGCTATATCCCAGCTTTTCTTTTATTAATTACCTTGCTGACCAAAACTGAGTCCTTTTTCTTTTCGTGATCTTCCGTCTAGTTAATGTATTTAACTCTAAGGCTAAAGCATGGGTTGATCTGATACATGTCAAGTTCTCAGGTTTCAGGGTTTTTGTCTTGAGCTAAACCACGTTTAATTATGAACAAAATGTACACAGGCTGGTTTGATTAAGAGGTTCTTGAATGTTGATGATTAAACAGAAGACTCTTTTGTCTTCACTCCTTCAAATGGAGGTCCAGGCACTATGACAAAGGCAAAATAAAACAAAAACAACACAACGACAGTGCCGACGCTCCCTCGAGAGTAGCCACAACCGTCCTTTCCCTTTCAGCTTTCTTTGAATGGCATCCAAAGAGAGTCTCTCTAACAAAAGAACAATCTTTTATAGCTTTACTCAACAGTATACAATGACATGCCCGCCCACGTCCTTATCACAAAAATCTATTTCACATGGTTCATATCTGACCATATAAATCTTTGGGGATTAAATTAAATTAAATTATTGCAGAATTAATCATTATACAGATGTCATGGTATCAAGTACTGAATGGACTGCAAAATGGATATATGCTGCTGTCAATGCTCAAAAATTAAAGAGACAAAATATGGATTCAGTCTCAGGTATATTGAGGGGGTATATCATATATGATCAAGATATCATACGTGCAGATGCTTCTTTTCTTTTTTCATTTTTCTTTCGCTTTTCTTTTTATATAATGTTGAATACAAGACAATGCTATAATGGACTGGAGAAAAATAGCATTGTCTTGTATTCAACATTATATGAAAAACCATATCTGGGAAATTCAGCATATCATTCTAGCTTTTGAACTCTTCAGCAGATGGGCCAACATGAACTTTTACGGGAAACCCACGAGCCTGTTTTTACAAAGAAAAATCATCTTTCAAAAGCCGAACTTTAGGGGTCCTCCAATTTTGTCACTGCTATCTGAAATCGAAATTGCTGAAGCAAAATAAAATACTTGGTAAAGAGCTATGTCCTGCACCCTACACACCCCTAACCCCCCCCCCCCCCCCTCTCTATTTCAATTGGGGAGTGAAAAGAAGTTTTGGCTTTTGGGCTTATACTTAGGATTCTTCTGTTTAAAGATCGTTTTTTTTAGAGAAGAGTGCGTGGGCATGCACTATTTTTGTTTAGTGCAAAGATGAGGAAGAAGTGCACGAGTGAGGGGCCCTTTGCTCCCTTTGCCCTACCATATAGCTCAAAATAAAAAATATCATGCGATAGCTTGAGAGGTTTATAAAATAAAGCAGTCGTTGGCAGTTGGACACCTCCCAGTCACTGTGAGTGACACGTGTTGTCTTCCAATTGGTGTAGAGCCTTGTTAAACATTTATCTGCTTTTTTGATAGAAATGGTACTATGGTGAAAAAAAACCCCAAACTCTTATACATCATTTGGGTTGATGATGGGAACCTGTTGCTCACAAAATCCAAAATCCTGTCTCGTCCCGTTCGTTAAAAGCCCCACCTTTTTATATCCAATACCAAAGCCCCAACATGATAGTTACCTACCTATATATATATATATATATATATATTATATATACACGCTCCACCCCATCATACGCAGTGCTCCTGTTATAACAAAAAAAAAAAAAGAAGAATAATAGTAAACGTGTCATGTACGTAAACAATATCCTATACAGGTTAAAGGGATATTTGCAGTACGGCCATTATTATTTGGCCCATTTTTTCGAGTAAAATAATATTTTTATAATTGAGTTGTAAGTATTTTCGGGTTTTATTTGAATTTAATCCACTTTTCAAGTAATCATAAAGACACATCTTTCTAAATTGACTTAATACACTCAAAATTATTACTTTAAAAATGATTTTTACAAAAATTGAATCTTAATTAATAAAAAAACGTGATTTTTTTTATCAACTGAATTAACCTATTAAGTTCTATTTAAAAACAATGATGATAATGAGAGAGGTAATTTCATTGATAATAAAAATCTTAACCATTTCTTCTTCATTCAGGTTGTAGTCCGCTTAAAACCACTAGAATGTAAAGCATTTGTCTTGTAATTTAATTGATATTTCGAATAAACACAGGTGATTGAATCCTATAAATACATATATATTACACATGTTATTATAACAAGACATATACGGAATACAACGTAATTGTTTATAAAACTTAATTTCTTTGCATACCATTATCTATCTTATATTAAGGTCTTATAAGGTATGTACATCATATTACGCCAAGTTGTTTTAAATATCTCACGTGAAGACACGTGCTTCATGCAACATTTTTTTTTATATGTATCTTTTAAAAAGTTGGAAATTGTGGTTAATTTTTTGGCTATAATTACGTCATTGCATTCCAACACCTTGGCCTATAGTCTGTCCCATTTCATGCTTTTTAATTAAATCATAAAGCTGAATATTAATATCCAAACCCTTTTTTTTTTGTTTTGTTTTGTTTTTTTGGTCATATAAGCTCCACGGGGTGGGCTGTCGGGGATTAATTATAATTATCAGTTGTTGATCACTGAACCAATCCTGCATTTAGTTTTAATGTTAACCTTTTTAGTGGGGAAGGAAGATGGTGTCTTTTATGGGTTGATATATATATATAGAGTACAAATCTTCGTGGCTCCCATCTAGCTGTACTAATGAGGAAACGCCACAGTTGATTAATTGATTGGAGAGTCGCTTCGCTACAGAGGATTTTATAAATGGATTCATCACAATTAAATTACCCAATTGGATTTTGATAGGTTTGATTATGGGATCCACACTGTTGGAACAACTAAAAAAAACTTCGGTGAGGGGAGTACCATTCTTCTGTTCTTATAATAATTAATTAGAAAAATTAGACAAATTAAATCATCGTCAAATTAACTAGAAACCCTGAATTATTATGTGAGTGTTCCTTGGTGGTCCTCACATCCCTTGATCGATGGGGAAGAATATAGATGTTGGAAGCTAATTAAGCGCAAATCCAAGAGAGTTGGATAAAATTGTACGGATGAAGAATTGTCACCTTGTATCGAATTTCCTTTTCACTCTGGTCCATGGCATGGGCATATAAAACTTGTTGATATCATGAATCGAGTTAGAGAACAGGCCAGTGGGGGGATATGATGGAGCATGGAGGTGATAATATTTGAAATTTGCATGAAGATTCGTGGAATTTCCCTAAAATGCATGGTTACCTTTTGCGTACCATTTTTAAAAGGGCCATTATGTAATGTTACAAGAAAACTTGCGGGCACTTACATGCATACGTACATACGTGTATATATATATATATATATATATATATGCAATCTATATCTTCTATATAAAAACTATTTTTAAAGAATAGTATAGTGATATGTGGTAAGTCTCATGTGTTATTTTTAATTGTTTTTAATTTTTTTAAAAATTATTTTTAATGCTTAATATGTTAACATTTGATGAACCATTTAATTATCATGTGAAAATTTTTAAAATAAAAAAAAAATTTTCAAAAAAAATTTTCTTAATTATAATTATAACAAAAAATATAGTAGGAGTTGAGTATAGAGATGATAATGTGTTTTTGGCAATTATAATACCCTCAAAAGCTTTTACAAAGAAAAAACCAAGCACCTAAATAATAAAAAAAAAATCCATAAAGCTACATTTAACTTATCAAAAAAAAAAAAATCAACCTTCAAAACTTTTGAAGCTAACCCACACATTAAATTTCAATCACTTATTAAGATAAAAAAAATTGTAACTAAAAATAATCAATTGAAAAAATAACCTACATAAAAATCAATAAAAAGATCTCACAAAACATGATAAAAATTTTTTAAAAATTATTAGATAAAAAATTTAAATATTTTTAAAAATATCTTTTAAAAACAAAACATATATCATTAAAAAACTAAAAATATTATATTTGAGATTTTTTAATAAATTACAAAAAAAATTAAGAACCAATTAATACAAATAATCATGTAAAAAACTTTAGATATAAGATTTTCAAAATCTTTTTTTAATCTAAAAAATTAAAAAAATAAAAAAGATAAAATTTTTTAAATTATATTTTATAAAAATTAAAAAAAAACCCCGTACAAAGCAATGGTATCATTCTAGTAGTAGATGAAAAGGAGCCTGCTTTTTCGAGCTTTGGCATTTTCCCAATGTCTAACTCACTCTACCCCACAAAGTAAAGCAGCTTCCAACCGTACGTGGTTAGGATGTGATAATTAAGAAATCCAAGAAACTTTTTCCGAGTAGTGCGTAGTAGACAGATCACTGCTGCTGATTAAGAGTTGAGATGTGAGTCAGAGAAGAGTTGTGCGATGTTTAAAGATGGAAGAGAGGGAACCAGCCAACCATACATGGGGCGGTCACGATTGGCAATTGCTAAGGCCGGGGGTGACGTTGATAATGAATGAAGTGCCTTTTTTGCCTGCGGGACCAAGTTCAAGTCTCTTCACCGAGCCAATGCCTCCGCAAAATTCCACTGATTCAGTAGAAATAAAACCAATGGCAAAGCTAGAAATTATGTATTGTCAATCACGTGCTGCGCACAGAGAGAAAGAAAGAGAAAGACAATAGATATTAAATAAAAGAAGATAATAGAGTGCCATTAAGTTTAACGAATAATTTGATTATTTTTATTTATTCACGAATCAAATACAACACGCTTGAAAGGCCCCACAGACCTTCGTATATGTTATGCCAAACGATGGCCGTGAAAGAAGTTTTCCTTTTTCCCCTTTAAGGAAATGGAAAAAATATAAAAAAAGCGACTAAAAAACAAATTCACACGTGTCACCATCACACGCATGAACACCAGTAGACTAAGAGGAAGAGGCATTTCCCGCCAGAAAAGCACACATACACACTTGCCTGCCACACATGCCAAATGCGTGTGCACGCAAACCACTCTTAATACTAATAATAAAAAAAAAGGAGCCATATTTATTGTTCCTTTTTTATGTTTGTATTTGTGCATTGTCAAATACTGAAGAGAGAGAGAGGGATGTTGAAGCAACGAGAGTAGCCTAGATAGATGGGAAAGCTTTGACTCTAATCCACGTCATCGCGATGCTCAAACTTCAACCAACATTCAATCCCTAAATCCGACAATCTCCCCGTCTCTGTTAGAATTTTCTCCCCTTCTTTCCGTCTAACCCCTTTGCCTAGGGGGACCCCTTTCATTCAATAATAATAACCCCCCACTTCTTTCGCGCTTCATGACTCCCACTATATATTAAACAAAGCCTTTTTTTCCTAATATTTATGTAACAAATTCCCACTCCCTTGGGAATCTGCAAAGCCATTAATGAATGACAATGCCCACCAACGAAAAAAATTAATAAATCTCCAAACTCCTTCATACATACGTATATACACCATATTATCTACATCACTCATGTCAATTTACTCTCAAAGCCCTCCAGAAAAAATGTTGAGGTTTCTAGACAACTTGGGCTACCATTTTTTTTCTTTTTTTTTTTTCTCCACCATTTCTTGCTTATTTCCCTCCTCCCCTTACTCGGAGTTTCCTTTGTCATCATCTACCCACAAGCAGTTATTTAGTTTTCTCCTTTTATAAGAAGATGAGGAGGAGGATGAGTCACTGGACCTCATTGTGGGCCGGATCGTTACTCGAAGCTGCGGTAAGATCTTGGGTGGTTTCCTCCTGGCATTGTCAAGCACCAGTTCTTGCATTAACCTGTAGCAGCTAAGGATTTTCTCCTGCAAAAATTGGATACTTTTCCAAGTTGGCATACTAGTTTCTAGTTTAACTTAGAAGTACATCTACACATTAATTGAGCTTACTTTGCTTAGTCCATCACACCATGACCCAACATGTTCAGGATTAACAAGAGGCAACTTTGGCATTTCATTGGCTGCACAAAGTATTGCTGCAGCCGCAATGCTTGACGGCCAATACTCTAGAAAGCTGGCCTCTGCTGACATTAGCAAACAAGTATTTTATTTGAAATGGTTATTGTAAGCCTTTTTTACTTCATATGCGTACGTGTACGTATACAAAAATATATGCATGTATTTATATCAACCGACAGAAAGAGAATAAAATTCATATGCATCTACAATAATAATACCTTTGATATTCGATAAAATGATATTCGTTGCCCTTGAAATCAGAAACCCGAAAAAAGTTCCTGTTGGATCGAGCTTGCATGCAAAGAAACCAACAAAACTGAATGGTGTTACTGATCGCAGCCTCCAATCCAAAACCGTCAGCACAAGCAGTTCCATTCTGCGAACTGTTTTTGGTTCAAAAATATATTTGGCGCTCTCTACCTGCACGTATAGCATTATGTTGAAATTACGCCAATGCTCGTTGAAGAAAGAAAAATAGTACTAGCAATGATTTTAACCACAGAAAGTTTATTGAAAAGGAGATATACCTGAAGATCTAAAAGAGATGGAACAAGAGGTTCCTCCATCTTGGCCGCTAACGACAAGCAAGCCACGGATAGAAGTTGCAATGACCACCCACTAGTTTGCTGAATAGTTAAAAAAAAAAAAAAAGCCGTCGCATTGTTAATCACCACAAATCATCATACCATTAATAATAAGCAATAACGAATATCAAACGCATATGAACTTTTGTGGGAATTATTAAGGTAGATTCTAAGCACATTTACACAGCTCATTAAAAAAATAAAAAAGTAACAATTACCCATCAAGGGAACAAGAGTAATACTACTACAACTGTAGTTAATGCAAAGGCAAGTTTCGGTCTCTTTCCTTTTCTCTTTTTGCCCAAGAACGCAAGCCACTGTTTGATTCGACCAACAAGAAAACAAAATCTCGCTCCTTTTATTTATTACTGAGTCTGAGTTACTATAGTAAAGTAATCAAGTTCATTCCAAGGTTTCATCGTCGTTGAAAAGTCAAACATAATTACACCGAACAGTCAAAATTTTAATCACTGAAATTCCTCCAACACAATTTTATTGTTATCCAGCTAATAATCCTTCCATAGTAAGTTTTACAACACTTAATACTGCCGGAAACGAAAGCTCACCGGCAAGCTGCAGGAATACAGAAACCGATCCATGTAGTTAACGGAAAGATACGCCGTCAAAGGCTGGAAATTATAGTATGCTTGTACCTGAAAAAAAAAAAAAAGGAAATACTAGCATTATTGAAAAAAAGTATGGAAAAAGTCGTAAGTAACAGCCGCCACTAGGTGAATCATCTCCGTCCATTGAACGGCTGTCATTAGATCTCTTTCTTTTGATTTTGAAAGCGTAACCTACCAACCGCGTTCTAGCAAACCGTGAGAAATTCAGCTAACGCGCACCAGTGTTGTAATCGTAATATCGAAGAACAGAGATAGTTAAGTACAGTTTAGTTAGTTACAGTTTACCACTTTACCTTGAGAATCCATGCAACAGATTCTTCTCGAGCAGATGCATCAAGAGTCTGGGACTGAAACCGAGCCAGGTAATCGAATCCGGGGACGAAGTTCCTTTCCTCTTCAATAAGGCCAGCGATGGAAGATTCTTCGATGCACGACGCCGGAGAGTCCAGCTCAGACGAACATGCCGGCGACTCGCCGGAGAATACATCGTCGGAATCTTCACCGCATAGTAAGTCCGTGAAGTGATCGGACATATTGATAATGGTTTTGAGATACCGACGAAGACAGCAATCGTAGCCGTTGATTCCTCCTCATTCTCTCTCCATATCTACCGTTGATTAGTAATCTTCGACGAAACAAAGCGACGGAGACGTTTCAAAAAATGGGTGCGCGTCTGCGTGTGCGTATAATATGGAGGAGGAGAAGAGGAAGAGGAAGAGGAAGAGGAAGAGAAATGGGTTTGGGTTTGGAGATTTGGTTTGTAGTTATTGATAGTCGTATTCGGATATAAACATGTGAGGTTATTCTTTATTTTTTCTGTTTTTGTTTGTTTTTAATTTTGTATTTCTTATTTTGGGTTTGTTCGGGGGGTAAGATTTTGCCGGGATAACGGACTTCCATTTTGAGAGGGATACTGAAAAAATTTTATTCGTTGGAGTTTTCAGAAATGAGGAGCAGTAGGACTTGGAAGGATTAAAAGAGTGAAAAGCTAAAGATTATTTGGGTTTTTGTTACTACTAGGCTAATAGGTGTGGAAGGTTATTAGGGAAGAGTTTGAGCGACGGATTGGATTGGGTGTTGCTGCTGCTGGATGGGGACAGCCTGGGACTTTTGTAGGGTTCCTGTAAACCAACAGGCAGCAAGTGAGGAGGTGAAGTGAGCAATTTTGCACGTCCTTGTAGAAACTCTATGGCACAATATATTTTTTTCATTTAAAATTAATTAAAATTTTAATTATTTATTATATATAATATATAAAAATAAATATTTAACATTTTAATTATTATATATAATATATATTAATTAATTAATTTTTTAATAAATATGATCTAATTTAAATAAAAAATAAATGTTAAAATAAAATAATTATTTCATACAAAAAAATTTTTGTCCTATTTTACTAACACGTGGACAATTTCGTTTTGTTTTTCGCACTTATATATATATATATATATATTTTGATATTCTTAACCGTCCACTCATTTTTTCAACGATGCAATGAATGGATATATGAGTACAAAGAATAGTCAAAATTTTAAGTATATAGTAGATATTTGGAGTCTACGTATCAAGTTATATTGACTAATTATTTCGTCTTAGGTAAGCCGTCTACATCGTACGAAATAAAAAAATTATGATAAAATTATAACCATAAATAGGACCCTACTCATAAGTGCATACATTTGTTTTCTCTCTACAAATTAGAGCGCTGAAACAAAGTAGAAAACAACTAATTTTCATTTATAGACTCACTCATTTTGAAAAACCTTCACCGTCTTATTATAAATTTACTAAAATTCATAAGCATAAATTACCATAATCAATTTTTGAAATGATTTAAATCCAAATTTATTATCCCAAATTTAAATCCAAATCCAAAATAGATTTGGTATTAAGTTAAACTAATATAAATTAACAATTAAAATAAAAGAAGGCGAGACATTGCTTGCTTCTTTGTTCATTGGTTTCTTCATCCTATTGTTCTTCTTGATTTGTTTTTTCTTATCGGTTGTTGTGAAAATTAAAACACTAATTGTAAGAGCGTATATAATATTATATTATAATATATATATATAAATATTTGATAAAATTTATTTTCGTAAATATTTTAAAAAATGATTTCTTTTTTTGATAAAAAAAATCTCTAAAATTTTACTTTACAATGTTACGTAAAATATTTTCTAATTATAAGTTATTTGTCAAAAAATATATATTTAAAAATTATTAAATTATCCAAATTTTCTAAATTTAGGTGGAACACAATTAATTATTTTTTAAGTTGCTAGCACCAAATTTCAATTTAAATATATTATTTTTTAAAAAATACATTTTCAAATAATCTAAATATATGTTTTTCAATTTAAAACTTTTTAATATAATGACGTATTATTTGTTAAAATAAGTTTTATAAAAATATAAATATATATCTTTTTAAATATTAAAATCTCAAATGTAGTGATACTATAAAATAATTTTTTTATTAATTTAAATATATTTCATTTTAAATTTTAAAATTTTAAAATATAAAATTTATTTTTAGAGATTTCATAATAATTCCTTATAATTTTATTATTTTTAAATTTAAAAGACAAAAAATATATATGTTACAAGATAATTTATTTTTTAACAATACTTTAGATTTTAATTTTATTTCTTTGTTTCTTTTTCAACCTTTATGCTTGGGAAGAAATCGTTTATTAACCTGTGAGATGCACAAAATTTTTTATTATATTTGTACAATTTTTTAATATATGAGATGCATAATTTTTTTAATTATATTTTTTATAATATGTGCATTCACATGTTAAAAAGTTAAAATCAATACTTTTTTGTTTCTAAAATTTTTATGAAAATTTTGAATATTTTGTTTGTTCCAAAGTATATACATGGATCATATAAAAATTTTTGACAATTCATGGATGTTGGAATGGAGGGAAAAAATTAGTTTAACACAATAATGATTTTTTTGAAGTATTTTGACAATTGAAAGTAAAAAATGTTGATTTAATTGTTTACGTATTATTTGTTTGTTTCATTTATTTATTTAGAAAAAACTGTATAGACTTATTTTTAATTATTGATTTTCTTGCGTTTTTCTTTTATTTGTTTTTTTAATTTATAAATAAAGTCAAATGACTAAAATTTAGTGCTAATTCTAAATTAATTGTTTTATATAAAAGTAAAATTATGTTTATTTATTTGAAATTAAATTTTTTTTTATAATTTAACTCTTTTACAATGTTATTGATTTTTTTCCTAAGAAGTGAAACGTAAGTAGTAAAAGCAAAAATTATCTTTTTTTTACCTTTGAAATTTATTATAAAATGCTATGAATGGGAATTGATACCTTCTCGTTGAAACCTTTTTACAATAAATTTTTAAATAATTATTTAAAATTTAATACTATTACTTAAAAATTAAAATTATTTCATTTTAGCTTTTACAGTAATGTCATAATATTCAAATATGAGAACTTGTTTATTAGATACAAAAAATATAGAGTCGCTACTAATAGTTTTTTATCTAAATATAATTGGTCGCCTATGTGAAACAATCTCTTTTAAAGCTATTCTAAACTTGATTAAGGAAAGTTTTAGCATCTTCACACACCCAAAATTAATACCAAATTAGTCTTATGTTATCTTATCCAAGTCCTAATTAAAATGGTCTTTGTTACTTATTTTTATTAACTTTGATATTTATATATTGGAAAAAAAACTTTAGACTTTAATAAAAATTTTTTTTTCTCACCTCAAGAATATTTAAGGTAAACTTATTATTTACTTAAAAAGGTTTCGTTGTTAAATTTATTAAATATCTTATATCAAAAAAACAAATTTATTCACAACAATTTTTATTTATTTATAAAATATTAATTACAAATAATGATATAAACATATTTACAACTTTCTAATCATAAAATAATACATTTACACTTTTCTAAAAAAATTAATTCTATTTTTATTTTTATCAATTCGATCAATAAATCAATCGGTAAAAAAATAAAATTGAAATAAAAAACAAATAATGAATAAATAAATAAATAAGTAAAAATACTAGCAAAATAAAATAATTTCATAAAATAATTATTATCAAAAATATTATCCCAAGCCACATTAGACAACAAATAAATATAACATCATAATAAATAAAAATTAAAAAAAAGAGTACCTAACCAATGCTCTTGGACTCACCCGAAATGAAGCCTACTACCAAGAAAATTGTTGTTAGATTATGTTTGCTTTAATATTACGTGTGTGGCTCGTTTTTCTTTGTGATTCTTTTTTATTATTGTTGATTGTTTAATTGCTAGTTGTCTCACTGATTTGCCGATTGTTGTCGTGTTTTTCCCTTCCAATTGCTTATTGATTTTTCTACTCCATTTGCCCAAGAACTTATTCTTCAAAACTTAGAGTTTTATGTTGCTTGATAATTGTTGATTATGTTGCTTCTTATTTTTTTTAAGCTTGAAATTTAGCTCTTTATATAAAAATTGGATTCTTTTTCAATTTGAAAATTTTTAATACCAATTGAATTTATCAAGATCTTGTCAAAAATTTATTTCCTTCTTATAGAAACTTGATTACCAAGAATTACCAAAATCAAACTTAACTTTTAATTTTCAAATCTAAATAAAATCACAATCTTTAAAAAAAAATCAAATTTTATATTCAAAATGTAAATAAAAAACACTTTTAGGCTTAAAATCTAATTTCATAAATTAAACCTTGACTGAATGATTTTGCAATCTATTATCGAAATAGAATTTGAAGCTCGCTAAATATCAAGAACAATTCTTAGACAAAATTGAGTGTCTTATAGTTGCCCCTCTTTGCATATCCATTTTGTTTGGTTATCACTTGTCCAACAAAACATAAATACTAAGACCTCAGATATTCAAAATTTGAAAAAAAAAAAATTCACAATTGGAAAACATGTTGAAATTCATAGATATGCTAAAATTCAAATTTTAAATTTTCAAAGATTCAAAATTCAAAATTTAACGATTCATAATTGAAAATTCCAAGATTCACAAAATATTCAAAGGAATTTAAGGATTAAGAACATTCAAAGATTCACAAAAGTGTTCAAAAATTCACAAGAGTGAAGATTCACAAAAATAAATTTTGCAAGAATTCAAAGGTTTGCAAGGGATCAAAGATTCATAAAAGTTCAAAAACTCGCAAGAGATCATAGATTTGCAACTGTTCAAAGATTCGTAAGAGATCAAAGATTCACAAGAGTTCAAAGATTCACAGAAGATCAGAGATTCACAAAAGATAAAAATTTTGCAAGAACTAAAAAATTCACAAAAGATTAAAGATTCCAAAAAATAATGGTTTGCAAGAGTTCAACGATTCATAAGAGATCAATGATTTTCAAGAGTTCAAAGATTTACAAATAAAATTTCAAAATTTTCAATTGTAAATATTTGCAAATAATTTTAAAGATTCACAAATGAAATTCAAAATTTCGCAACTGTAAAGATTCACAAATAGTTTCAAAGATTTCCAAATGAAATTCAAAATTTCGTAATTGTAAATATTCACAAATAATCTCAAATATTCATATTCAAAAACCAAAAATTCAAATATTTTAGAAATTCACATCTACAATTTAAAAATTTAAAGATTCACGTTGGAAATATTCACATTCAAATTTTTATATCCAAAATTTTAAAGATTCATATTAAAAAAATTTTAGAGATTCAAATCCAAACTGAAAATTTCCAAAATTCAAATATTTACATTCAACAAATTTTAGAGATTCATATCTAAAATTTAAAACTTCACATTTGAAAAAACTTTAGAGATTCATATATAAAATTCAAGATTCATATTTAAAAATTTAGAGATTCATATCCAAAATACAAAAGGCATTTGAAAATTGAAAGAGGCATTAAGACTTTAAAAGTTTTAACTAAAAGGCTCATCCCTAACAAAGACATTGAAACTTTAAGAATTAACATTTTTCTTTTAATGTACTAACATAGTTAGGCTTAAATTCTCAATTGGTGCCATGGGCTTAAGACTCAACTAGTGCTAGCTAATTTAGGCTTAAATCTCATCATGTGCTAGCTAATTAGGGGTTAAGTCTTATCACGTCAAACATCTTCAACATTTTCCCCCTATTTTTTA